ATACATATATACATATATATATATATATATATATATATACATACATACATATATATATATAAAGAAAACAAACAAACATTATCTTTGTTATGATACAGAACTCTGAATCAATATACTTCATTATACATTGAAAGAAAATTTATATTTTATTATTTTCTTTAAAGTAAAAATAGATTTACTCTCTTTGGTTTCTTTAGACAGACTGTTCCACAGATTTGTTCCATAAACAGAAATACAACGATCCATTTGTTTTTGTTGTTTTCACTATTTAATGAGAACAGCATGGTCCCTGGTCAACCTGGTTTGACCTCGCTTACATTTGTATTTATTAGTGATGGGTCCGGCGACACCGATGCGTCGGCGCACGTGTCGAGCTCAGAACAAAACCTGTGTCGGTGCACGTATCATTATTAGAAAGTCACGTGTCTGATACAGGAGCTGTTTTGAACTGACACTGACGCCCCAAACTGTTTATAAGGAAGCGTGTCTGTGAACGGGATGCATCTGCCTAAAGAATCTGTGATCTTTTGCCAGTCATCATTAAATGCATCAAGAATTATGGAGCAGCCTCAAACCAAAAGAAAGATTTCTGTCATGTGGGACCATTTTGATCTCATATCAGAAAATAAGCTATTTGTTTTAATTTCCTTGTTGTTTCATCCTGTGCTCAGAGGTTCCACTTGGTCTATCTGAATTCAAATTCATTTCAAGGTGACTTATTTTTACTATTCATATTTTCTGCAGGTTAAATGTTACATTTATTCAATTCAGTTTATATAGCAACAAATCACAACAAAGTTGTCTCAGGGCACTTTACATGAGCATTCATGTACGCTACATAGAAAAGCCAATTAGTAAAGTTCTGTATCTAAGGAATCCAGCAGACAAGTTGAATCTTGGCTTCGTTGCAGTCTCCCATCCTGAGCAAGCACAGTGGCAACAGTGGAAAGAAAAAACTCCCTTTTAAAATGAAGAAACCGCCAGCAGAACCAGGCTCAGGACAAGCGGCCATCTGCTTTGACCGGCTGGCTGAGAGGACAGGAAGGAGAGACAGACGAACACAGAATGGTAGGTCCAGGTATAGGTCCAGGTGTATCTGAAAGACAAAAAAAAAACACATGTTAAGGATATAAAAAATAATTACAAATACAAAACAGGTTGAGCAGACTGGGGAAAAAGTGGTCAGTTTGTCCTCCAGTAGTCTAAGCCTATAGCAGCATAACTAAGGGACAGCTCAGGAAACCCAAGCCGACCCTAACTATAGGATTTATCAAAAAGGAAAGTCTTAAGCCCAGTTTTAAAACTGGATAATGTGTCAGCCTCACAGACAGAAACTGGAAGTTGGGTCCACAAGAGAGGAGCCTGATAACTGAAAGATCTGTGTCCCATTCTGGTTTTGGAAACTCTAGGAACCGAGAGTAAACCTGCAGTCTGAGAGCGAAGTGCTCTGTTAGGAAAATATGGAACAATAAGATCTGTAATATAAGATGGAGCCAGGTTGTTGAGAGCTTTGCAGGTTAAAGTAAGATTTTGAATTCTATTCTGGATTTGACAGGGAGCCAATGGAGAGAAACTAAAACTGGAGAAATACTGTAGAAGGAAGGATGGTTTGAATTTTCTCTCTAATTGAAATAATTTTATTTATAAAGAATCTCATGAAGTCATCACTACTTATAGTTGTAGGGATACATGGTTCAACAGAAATGGGACTTTTAATTAGTCTAGCAATAGTACTAAACAGAAACCTAGGGTTATTTTTATTCTCCTCTATTAAAGATGACTAATATAAAGTTCTAGCTTTACAGAGAGCTTTTTTATATGTTAGCAGACTATCTTTCCAAGTTAAATTAAATTCTTCAACATTAGTAGAGCGCCATTTTCTCTCCTGGTTTCTAGATGCTGCTTTAAAGTACGTAACTCAGAATTGAACCAAGGAGCCAGTTTCCTCTGATTGATTACTTTCTTTTTCAGTGGAGCAATTTTATCAAGTGAAGTTTGCATTGAAGTTGTAAGATGATCAACTAGATGATCTAAGTCTCTGTTCTCTGATGCATTACTCTGCAAGACAGAGGAAAACATTAATGGAAGAGATTGTTTAAATTTGGTTACAGCATTTTCTGATAAGCACCTGCTGAGATGAAATTTACTCTCAGTGACTGTGTAGTCATTTAATGTAAACTCAAAGGTTATTAAAAAATGGTCGGACAGAACAGGATTTTGAGGAACTATTACCAAGTCTTTAATCTCTATACCATAGGTCAGAACTAAATCAAGAGTGTGATGATAAGAATGAGTAGATGTGCAGACATTTTGGGTAAAACCAAATGAGTCTGTTAAATTATTAAAGGCTATGCTTAAGCTATCACTTTAAACATCTACATGAATATTGAAATCACCCATTATGATGATTTTATCAGTATTTAATAATAAGTCAGTTGATAATTCTGAGAATTCAGACACAAACTGAGAGTAAGCGCCTGGTGGACGATATAGAAGCCACGTGTCACAGGACCAAATGACTACAGACCTGTAGCTCTCACGTCTGTAGTCATGAAAACCTTTGAACGCTTGGTTTCATCTCACCTCAAGTCCATCACCAACCCCCTCCTGGACCCCCTGCAGTTTGCCTACAGGGCCAACAGGTCTGTAGATGACGCAATAAACCTGGCTCTTCACTTCATCCTGCAGCACCTGGACTCCCCAGGAACCTACACCAGGATCCTGTTCGTGGACTTCAGCTCCGCATTTAACACCATCCTCCCTGCTCTGCTCCAAGACAAGCTCTCCCTACTCCATGTACCTGACTCCACCTGCAGGTGGATCACAGACTTCCTGACAGACCGGAGTCAGTGCGTGCGGCTGGGGAGAGCTGTCTCGGACACTCGGACTATAAGCACAGGATCTCCACAGGGCTGTGTGCTTTCCCCCCCTGCTTTTCTCCCTGTACACCAACTGCTGCACCTCCAGCCATGACTCTGTGAAACTTATTAAGTTTGCAGATGACACCACCCTCATCGGGCTCATCTCAGACGGTGATGAGTCTGCATACAGGAGGGAGGTGGACCGGCTGGTGACCTGGTGCAGCAGCAACAACCTGGAACTCAATGCCCAGAAGACAGTGGAGATGATTGTGGATTTCAGGAAAGCCACAGCCCCTCTGCCCCCCCTCACCTGTAATGATACCCCCATCACCACTGCAAATTCTTATCGGTTCCTCGGCACCACCATCACCCAGGACCTCAAGTGGGAGCCAACCATCAGCTCCCTCATCAAGAAGGCCCAGCAGAGACTGTACTTCCTGCGACAGCTGAAGAAGGCCAAGCTGCCGGCCAAGCTGATGGTGCAGTTCTACACGGCCATCATCGAGTCCATCCTCAGCTCCTCCATCACGGTGTGGTACGCCGGGGCCCCTGCCAGGGACAGACTGAGACTGCAGCGCGTTGTGCGCTCAGCTGAGAAGGTGATCGGCTGCAGCCTTCCATCCCTCCACGACCTGTACGTCTCCAGGACTGTGAGGCGAGCAGGTCGGATCACAGCTGACCCTGCTCACCCTGCACACGGACTGTTTGAACCACTCCCCTCAGGCAGGAGGCTTCGGTCCATTCGGACCAGAACCTCCCGCCATAAGAACAGTTTCTTCCCCTCTGCTGTTGGACTCCTGAACACTCATAATGCTACCTCATAACTTCTGCTTTGGTCACATTACATCTGTATTATAACTGAATACTCCATCTGTACTGTTTTCTAAGCTTTTTTATTGTTTTCTATTGTATGGGTGTACATATGGTTATGTTATGGTTTTAATTTTACTTTATTTGTGGGTGTACACAGGCTTATGTCTTATGTAATGTTCTCATTTTTACTTAATTTTTACTTTATTTTTACTTTATTTTACTTTACTACTATTCGCACCTTATGTCGAAGCAAATTCCTAGTTTGTGAACCTCGTTCATTGACATGGCGATAATAAACTGATTCTGATTCTGATATAGAACAACTAGTAAAAGTGGCTTTTCTGATTTCCATTTTGGACGAGAAAGACTGAGGGACAGCGATTCAAAAGAATCATAACTAATAACTGGTTTGGCATTAATCAATAATCCTGACTGAAAAATAGAAGCTACTCCTCCACCTCGGCCAGTTGTTCTAGGAACATGAAAATTTA